TTTTGTAAACATTGGAGAATGCTGAAAAACTAGGTTCTCCTCCAAGTTGACAAGTGACGGTGTCTACAGAGTTCAACAGTAATACTTCTTCATTCACATGCGTGGCACTTGTCATGGTTTTATAACTCACGCATTTTTTGAACGGTTAAAGAGTTACTAAATCAAGTAAACAATCTGATGTCACAAACCAGAACCCAGCCTCTGGTCCACCATTATAAAGTGAAAACATGTATAAATAAATGCAACATAAAACCTTTCAAAAGCTGGTGGCATTAAAGCAGTTCGCACTTCAACTCGAGTGTAGTCTGTAGTTAATCTGCGCGGCGACGTGTATACAAACACGCCTACCGATACCCTTTGCCTCGGGTCTGTTTTGAGTAAACCGGTTTAGGATTACTGATCTCATCAATCGTTCGTAAAATCTCAGTTGCAGGCGTTAGTGGAACATGTTTGTCCACACCGGAATCGGTTTATCATTCTAACTGACCTGACCGTAGATAGTATGTGTTTGTTTCTTAATGATTCATTAGGGTCGGTCGGGTGTGTTCTTTTGAAACTGAGCGACTTACATTCAGCTGTGGCGAATGCAAGACAAAATGCAATACGTTGAAAAATAAATGTCTTTTCACGAAACTCTATCCCCTGAAACAGCCGTTACTTATGTAAATACATTTAAGTAGACAATCAAAAGTCACACCAAATTAAGTACCGATATTGTCTTGTTAATATGTTTTAAATTACAATAAATGGTTTTGCGTGTCTTCTGTGTTTGGTCATTGTCTCCTGACAGATGGTAACATGGCGTTGCGCAGGGTTGCTTCCCTTAACGGTGCCAGGATCCACAGATCTTGGGTTTGTCAAAGCCATGCTAGTGAGTTTCAACAGTAGCAAAGGTCTGCCACTTGTATGACTCTCCTCTCGGAGAGGTCGGGGTAGCCTAGTGGTTAAAGCGTTCGCGCGTGACGTGGAAGAACTGTGTTCGATTCCCCATATGGGTACAATGCGTGAAGCCCATTTTCCGGTGTCCCCCGGCGTGATACTGGTTCCGGCGTGGAATATGGCTAAAAGCGGCGTAAAACCATACTCACTCACCCCTTCGCCTCTCGTATGGGGGCTGACCGTGTAACTGAAACGTGTGACACGTCGGACGACAATCAACCTGGGCAGTTCGAGAAAATAACCGGGTGTCAATTCCCATGAGTACATTAGATCTTAGAAAAGAACAAGTATTAACCATAGCAACCACAGATCTGTCATGTAAATTAACACAACAGAACAATAGTTTGCAACGTTTAAGTTTATTCATAACATGAATATTATATTTTATTTAGTCTAAATGCCCAGATGAACCAAAATATAACATACAAATGTGCTACACTGAGGAGATATACTTATAGCTCCTGGACAAAGGTAAGTTATCCTAATACACCCCAACCCAACCCCCCCACCCCCCACTCCCATTCCCACCTCTCGCATCACTTGCATTTGCTAAAAAAAAATGGCGGCGCTCAGTCAAGACGATCTGATCTATAATCGTGATCTCTATTGTACTAAAACGGGTCTTACCTCGTAAAGTGTGAAAAAACATGAACAGATTTGCAAAATATCTGTCGACGCCCAGTTACGCGGTACACATGCTTTGCAGTCGACTGTATACTGCAAGGTGAAATCTATGTCGCTTACGAACCGGAAGTCCAGTTCGTCACGCGATTTTGATTGGCTATGCATAGATTCGTTAGTCCAGCCAAAATGTAATTCCGGAATTCCAACCTAGTTCGGCAAGGGCGGAAACTTTGTATAGTCTCGGGAAGATGTATAACTGAAATTGACCAGTCCTCTCACCCCAGGCCAGAACCTGGATCTTTGATGCAGATCAATGAGATCCTGCCCTGGTCTTAGAATCCATGCTTGTAGCCCGTGTGATTCTTGGAACACTGTAATCTGCTGGACTAGATAACGCTGGTCCCCACAGAACACAGCCAGTGGTCCCTATCATCATAAACCTAAAGAAGGGCACCAGAGCATAAAGTGGGAGCGCCATGTTGATTTCTTTGTTTCGTGGGATGAAGGTGATGTTGGAGCCGGGTTGGCCATGGCTGCTTCTTCTCTCTCGGTAACTTGGTAACTGTAAATATGATAAGACCGGAACAATTGGCATTCTCGGGTACTAAGCTCGGACTGGTTCGCAGTTCTAACAAATTTTACTCCACCAAAAATTTAACATTTTAAAGGTAGCCACAGAACGCTCACTTCAATCGCTGCTTAATTCTGAAAGGCATTTTTAGAATTATCTGCCCATACGTCATTGTCTGCGGTGTTTATAAACAACAAATAACAATGGTCCCGTGTGAAGAGGGAGAATACCTCTGTGACGTAGTCAGATCACGTGTCACCCAAGTTTCTCCAGATGTTTGGTATCAATGAAGGTCCTTCAATAGTTAACGAAAAATGCACTGTTATGAGTTGAAAGTAACTTCTTGGGCTGCAAATTTGCAAAGGCCTAGCCCTATTGCTGAACAGAGTCGAAATGTATTGAAATTTCATATTAACCATACATGTGCACTATTTATCGGCTCCATTTAAAGTTAATGAGTTGGTTGTACGCTTAACTCCCTTTTTAACAGTGAGTTTGGTTTTACGCCGCTTTTAGCAATATTCCAGCTATACCATGGCGGGGAACACCAGAAATGGGCTTCACACATTGTACCCGAGTGAGGAATCGAACCCCAGTCTTCGGCGTGACGAGCGAACGCTTTAACAGTAGGCTACCCCACCGCCCCCCTTTTAACAGTATTCCAGCCCTATCGAGATGGTTGTGTCAGTTTCATGTATGAGGGAAGCCCACAGTGACGCTGATCGCAGACGTTTACCACTGTGGCGAAACCTCTGACTATGAGTATGGAGCTGATGTATGAGAGTCCAATAGCGGAAGAAATTTGTGATTCGAACCCAGAAGAAAGAAGGAAAGAGCCCAATTAATGACGATAAGTCACGAGCCAATCACTAACATGGAAAGTGCTTGTTTTCAAGATCTCAGTATTTCCATGTCAACATCCTTGGCAGCATTCAACCCGCCATGGTGATGGAAATTAATATTCTGCTTGTGACCCTAGCTTGCACAAACAGATACATGTATAGATCTATTTTTAGAGAGAGAGAGCGAGAGAGAGAGAGAGAGAGAGAGAGAGAGGCTGACACGCCGTGATATAACTGGAATACTGTTAAAAGCGGCGTTAAACCCAACTCACCCACCCATCATGGAAACTCTTTTAAGGATCAGTTTCAATAACTCAACTTGAGGTTGCAGTCACACGGTACCGACCCGAAAGTGTATATAAGATTATCGTAGACTACACATAACATAGGCATCGAGAATGCCCATCGCGTTCCGTCAAAACACCAACCCGGCTACAGTTATGTAAATCGGCGTGATTCATCAGCGTTGTTACTTTCCGTGAATTCCGCCATGGGAACGAGACGTCGCGTCAGCAGACAGTGTGATCACCAGAACAAAGCACCGGTCTGTTCACTGTACTACCCTCCTATCTCACCAACACTCGACAATGATGTTTTCGTTCCGGTCTCTTATATAGATTGAAGGATGGGAATATATACGTACATGTGAAATATACATTAAGTTTTAAAAAAAATAATTAAAAAAATGTTTATCATCTTTTAATACCATTTGTTTCGGGGTTTTTGCTTCTTCTTTATTACATATATAATGATTCCACGTTTTTTTCTAACGTGTACAATACCACGTGAACAGGCTTGTCAGGGGATATTTCCATGTTAAAAGTAAGTGAAATAATAATATTTATTAATTGACATCAAGAACAGCTTGTATTTTGTATGCAATGGGTTATTTGATATTTTTCATTTAATTTGTAGCGTTATAACAAATCTTTTCGGAATGTATTAAAATGGCAGTCATTTCCAGTTACTGTAAACTACATTTATGACGAACACGCCTACAACGAACTCACGGATATAACGAACTATTTCTTGGCCTCGTCCATTTGATGTATGTATGTTGTAAATATGCATATAACGAACTACGGTTATAACGAATTAAAATAAGTGGTCTCTTTGAGTTTGTTATAACCGTAGTTTACTGTACTTTATCCCTGTATATGATAAACATAGTCAACAACAACAAATAATTGAATCATTGTTTTTTCACTGACACCATACAAAACAATATTCCCATAATCATCATATGGTTTGTTCTGGATATTAACTCTAGACCACCTAAAGAAATCCAACCAAAATAGCAAAACATTTTGACAATAAAATAGAAAATGACTTATGATACACTTCCACAAAATTCAAACAAATGACATCCTTTACATGTATGTTGTATGTGTACATTACACGGAATAATTGATGCAGTATCTTAAATTGGAGTTGTTTGTATTTATTTTAATATCATGTCCTCTATTGTTCCCCATCCATCCATACCGACTGCCGTTGTTCCATAATTTACACCCCCCCCTCCCCCCCCCCTCCCCCCCCCCCTCCCCCCCCCCCCCCCCCCCCCCCCCCACACACACACACACACTCACCCTACTATGTATACATCTGTCAATGTACAATGTAACCGGGTTAACCCGGACGAACCCCTTCCTACGAAATCGTTTAACGGCTCAACGAATAATGGGTATGGAGTGGTGCGCCTATATATATAAAAGTAGCTCCCCAAAATGATTGTCCGGACGGTTTTCCGGATATACAGGGTCCGATTCAACGAGGTTTCACTGTATAAATACTTTACCAGAAAGATCGCCCGGAAGGTAGGTAGGAAGGTAATCAACATTCAAAGCATTTTCGGTCCCATTAAGATTCCGGGGTAGCAACCCATGCTAGCCGTAAGTGAGCCCATGCATGCTGTCGATTATTTACAGACCGCCGTCATATAGCTGGAATATTGCTGAGTGCTGCGTTAAACAACGAACCAACCAACCAAACAAACAATTTTCGTAAATAGATAAACAAAGATACAGAAATTAGTATTTATTAAAAACGATTAATATCCAGTTTAAATAAAATGGACAGTGCTTAGTGTAACAGGTCATTTGTCCCCGTCATCAGAGTGTTGCGCAAGCCAAATCGAGGCCCGCAGCAAATTGTTCCAGATATTGCAGAAAAAGAAATTGTTCCAGATATTGCAGGAAATGAAATTGTTCCAGATATTGCAGAAAAAGGAATTGTTCCAGATATTGCAGAAAAAGAAATTGTTCTAGATATTGCAGGAACAATAATTGTTCCAGATATTGCAGGAATTGAAATTGTTCCAGATATTGCTAGAATAATATTTGTTCCAGTTAATAACAGGAATGGAATTGATTCATATATTGCAGGAAAAACGATTTTTCCAGATAACACAGGTATAATAACTGTTCCAGATATCACAGGTATAATAACTGTTCCAGATATCACAGGTATAATAACTGTTCCAGATATCACAGGTATAATAACTGTTCCAGATATCACAGGTATTATAACTGTTCCCGATATCACAGGTATAATGACTGTTCCCGATATCACAGGTATAATAACTGTTCCAGATATCACAGGTATTATAACTGTTCCCGATATCACAGGTATAATAACTGTTCCCGATATCACAGGTATAATAACTGTTCCAGATATCACAGGTAAAAGAACTGTTCCAGATATCACAGATATTATAACTGTTCCCGATATCACAGGTATAATAACTGTTCCAGATATCACAGGTATAATAACTGTTCCAGATATCACAGGTATAATAACTGTTCCAGATATCACAGGTATAATAACTGTTCCAGATATCACTGGTATAATAACTGTTCCAGATATCACAGGTATTATAACTGTTCCCGATATCACAGGTATAATAACTGTTCCAGATATTACAGGTATAATAACTGTTCCAGATATTAAAGGTATAATAACTGTTCCAGATATCACAGGTATAATACTTTGTCCTCAGGATATCGATTTATAAGCATGGTCGATGATTGGCTGGATGGGTGGCTGGCATTCGTCACCACTCGCCCCTTTCCGTAACCTGCAAGAAGTCCCGGAGTTGATCACGAATGGGTTGGCTGGATAGCCACTTGGTGACAGTGAGACATACTCGTTCTCAATCTGTCCTGGTATGTCGTGAACCTGTGATTGAGTAAAGTAACCGTCCCTTCCAACCTCCCTGTCCACAATATCAGTTCCAGGATTATGGGAGGGTTGCGTCTGAATCTGTTTGTGTGGCGGTGGACGATGTCCTCGATGGTACGGACCAGTCGTTGGTGCTGGGCATACCATTGTCCTTCAGGCCCCCGCGCAGAGATCTCCTGAAGGCTCTCACCTGAAGCAGAAATACACGGGCATTTACAAACAAAAGGGTCTCACACATTGTAGTTATGTGTGCAATTGAACCCGGGCGTGACGAGCTAACACTTCAACGACTGAGCTGCCCTCTGCAAGTTCTAGATTGTTATAACCTTGTTACATACGTCCGATTGTCTTTCGCGATAAATTACGCTGGACCTACTCGTTTATAAAGTTTCGTCTTGATTCCGATTCTGATCCAATGGCCTTACATATAGCCCTGTTCATTTAGGAAGCAGTTGGAAGGTTTGATGTCGGATACAAATAATTCCTTACGATTTGAGACGTAGAGAATAGAATTAGATAACATACACTGGATAATCCAGTCTTCTTCTCCTTGATTGTGTGTGTGTTTTAGTTTGGAGTGAGTGTTGTTTTCTTATAAACGCATCAGCAATCTTGTAGCAATTCACGGCAAGCGTGTGAGTTTGGAACAGGGTGGGTGAGTGGGAATTAGAGAAGCGGAAAAAAACCCTACACACATGAAGATTTCACCAGATGAAAAGGGGTTTAACCTTGCGAGCAAAGCCCTAAGTTAAACTAGCATTTTCCACTTTGGCGAAACGCACAAACACAGACCTTTGGTTCGAAACAGCAGACACTGGGTGACAGTGAGACATACGTTGTATTCAACCAGCAGACACTGGGTGACAGTGAGACATACCTTGTATTCAACCAGCAGACACTGGGTGACAATGAGACATACCTTGGGTTCAAACAGCAGACACCATGTGACAGTGAGACATACTTTGGGTTCAAACAGCAGACACTGGGTGACAGTGAGACATACTTTGTGTTCAAACAATAGACACTGGGTGACAGTGAGACATACCTTGGGTTCAAACAGCAGACACTGGGTGACAGTGAGACATACTTTGGGTTCAAACAGCAGACACTGTTTGACAGTGAGACATACTTTGTGTTCACACAGCAGACACAGGGTGACAGTGAGACATACGTTGTGTTCAAACAGCAGACACTGGGTGACAGTGAGACATACCTTGTGTTCAAACAGCAGACACTGGGTGACAGTGAGACATACTTTGTGTTCAAACAACAGACACTGGATGACAGTGAGACATACCTTGGGTTCAAACAGCAGACACTGGGTGACAGTGATATATACCTTGGGTTCAAACAGCAGACACTGGGTGACAATGAGACATACTTTTGGTTCAAAACAGCAGACACTGGGTGACAGTGAAACATACTTTGGGTTTAAACAGCAGACACTGGGTGACAGTGAGACATACTTTGGGTTCAAACAGCAGACACTGGGTGACAGTGAGACATACTTTGGGTTCAAACAGCAGACACTGGGTGACAGTGAGACATACCTTGTGTTCAAACAGCAGACACTGTGTGACAGTGAGACATACTTTGGGTTCAAACAGCAGACACTTGGTGACAGTGAGACGTACTTTGGGTTCAAACAGCAGACACTGTGTGACAGTGAGACATACCTTGTGTTCAAACAACAGACACTGGGTGACAGTGAGGTGAGGTGAGGTGAGGTGAGGTGAAATTGGGTTTAACGTCGCGTCCAAGATTATTGCACTTATATAGCGACGTGCATGCACGTGTATGTGTGTGTGTGGCTGCTTGTACTAGTCCGGACTGATGCCGATTTATAGTGCACGTTCACTGAGATACCATGCCGCAGTTTAACATGAATACCCCACTCAGACACAGTATACTGACTCCGAGCCGACCAGTCCTTGTTTTAGCCCCTTAATGCCGAGCGCCAGACAGGGTAACAACAAGTACAATCTTTTAACGTCTTTTTGTATGACGCGGCCCGGGATCGAACCCTGGACCTTCCGCTCTCCGGGTGGACGCTCTACCACAAGACCACGGAGGCGGTCGGGTGACAGTGAGACATACTTTGTGTTCAAACAGCAGACACTGGGTGACAGTGAGACATACCTTGTGTTCAAACAGCAGACACAGGGTGACGGTGAGACATACCTTGTGTTCAAAGAGCAGACACTGGGTGACAGTGAGACATACTTTGGGTTCAAACAGCAGACACTGTTTGACAGTGAGACATACCTTGTGTTCAAAGAGCAGACACTGGGTGACAGTGAGACATACCTTGTGTTCAAACAGCAGACACTGTGTGACAGTGAGACATACCTTGTGTTCAAACAGCAGACACTGTGTGACAGTGAGACATACTTTGGGTTCAAACAGCAGACACTGTGTGACAGTGAGACATACTTTGTGTTCAAAGAGCAGACACTGGGTGACAGTGAGACATACCTTGTGTTCAAACAGCAGACACTGTGTGACAGTGAGACATACTTTGTGTTCAAACAGCAGACACTGGGTGACAGTGAGACATACTTTGGGTTCAAACAGCAGACACTGGGTGACAGTGAGACATACTTTGGGTTCAAACAGCAGACACAGGGTGATGGTGAGACATACTTTGGGTTCAAACAGCAGACACTGTGTGACAGTGAGACGTACTTTGGGTTCAAACAGCAGACATTGGGTGACAGTGAGACATACCTTGTGTTCAAACAGCAGACACTGGGTGACAGTGAGACATACCTTGTGGTCAAACAGCAGACACAGGGTGACGGTGAGACATACCTTGTGTTCCAGCAGCAGACACTGTGTGACAGTGAAACATACTTTGGGTTCAAACAGCAGACATTGTGTGACAGTGAAACATACTTTGGGTTCAAACAGCAGACACTTGGTGACAGTGAGACATACCTTGTGTTCAAACAGCAGACACTGGGTGACAGTGAGACATACTTTGTGTTCAAACAGCAGACACTGGGTGACAGTGAGACATACTTTGTGTTCAAACAGCAGACACAGGGTGACAGTGAGACATACCTTGTGTTCAAACAGCAGACACAGGGTGACGGTGAGACATACTTTGGGTTCAAACAGCAGACACTAGGTGACAGTGAGACATACTTTGTGTTCAAACAGCAGACACTGGGTGACAGTGAGACATACTTTGGGTTCAAACAGCAGACACTGGGTGACAGTGAGACATACTTTGTGTTCAAACAACAGACACTGGGTGACAGTGAGACATACCTTGTGTTCAAACAACAGACACTGGGTGACAGTGAGACATACTTTGTGTTCAAACAACAGACACTGGGTGACACTGAGACATACCTTGGGTTCAAACAGCAGACACTTGGTGACAGTGAGACATACTTTGTGTTCAAACAGCAGACACTGGGTGACAGTGAGACATACTTTGGGTTCAAACAGCAGACACTGGGTGACAGTGAGACATACTTTGTGTTCACACAGCAGACACAGGGTGACGGTGAGACATACGTTGTGTTCAAACAGCAGACACTGGGTGACAGTGAGACATACCTTGTGTTCAAACAGCAGACACTGGGTGACAGTGAGACATACTTTGTGTTCAAACAACAGACACTGGATGACAGTGAGACATACCTTGGGTTCAAACAGCAGACACTGGGTGACAGTGATATATACCTTGGGTTCAAACAGCAGACACTGGGTGACAATGAGACATACTTTTGGTTCAAAACAGCAGACACTGGGTGACAGTGAAACATACTTTGGGTTTAAACAGCAGACACTGGGTGACAGTGAGACATACTTTGGGTTCAAACAGCAGACACTGGGTGACAGTGAGACATACTTTGGGTTCAAACAGCAGACAATGGGTGACAGTGAGACATACCTTGTGTTCAAACAACAGACACTGGATGACAGTGAGACATACCTTGGGTTCAAACAGCAGACACTGGGTGACAGTGAGATATACCTTGGGTTCAAACAGCAGACACTGGGTGACAATGAGACATACTTTTGGTTCAAAACAGCAGACACTGGGTGACAGTGAAACATACTTTGGGTTTAAACAGCAGACACTGGGTGACAGTGAGACATACTTTGGGTTCAAACAGCAGACACTGGGTGACAGTGAGACATACTTTGGGTTCAAACAGCAGACACTGGGTGACAGTGAGACATACCTTGTGTTCAAACAGCAGACACTGTGTGACAGTGAGACATACTTTGGGTTCAAACAGCAGACACTTGGTGACAGTGAGACGTACTTTGGGTTCAAACAGCAGACACTGTGTGACAGTGAGACATACCTTGTGTTCAAACAGCAGACACTGGGTGACAGTGAGGTGAGGTGAGGTGAGGTGAAATTGGGTTTAACGTCGCGTCCAAGATTATTGCACTTATATAGCGACGTGCATGCACGTGTATGTGTGTGTGTGGCTGCTTGTACTAGTCCGGACTGATGCCGATTTATAGTGCACGTTCACTGAGATACCATGCCGCAGTTTAACATGAATACCCCACTCAGACACAGTATACTGACTCCGAGCCGACCAGTCCTTGTTTTAGCCCCTTAATGCCGAGCGCCAGACAGGGTAACAACAAGTACAATCTTTTAACGTCTTTTTGTATGACGCGGCCCGGGATCGAACCCTGGACCTTCCGCTCTCCGGGCGGACGCTCTACCACAAGACCACGGAGGCGGTCGGGTGACAGTGAGACATACTTTGTGTTCAAACAGCAGACACTGGGTGACAGTGAGACATACCTTGTGTTCAAACAGCAGACACAGGGTGACGGTGAGACATACCTTGTGTTCAAAGAGCAGACACTGGGTGACAGTGAGACATACTTTGGGTTCAAACAGCAGACACTGTTTGACAGTGAGACATACCTTGTGTTCAAAGAGCAGACACTGGGTGACAGTGAGACATACCTTGTGTTCAAACAGCAGACACTGTGTGACAGTGAGACATACCTTGTGTTCAAACAGCAGACACTGTGTGACAGTGAGACATACTTTGGGTTCAAACAGCAGACACTGGGTGAAACTGAGACATACCTTGTGTTCAAAGAGCAGACACTGGGTGACAGTGAGACATACCTTGTGTTCAAACAGCAGACACTGTGTGACAGTGAGACATACTTTGTGTTCAAACAGCAGACACTGGGTGA